GACGTCTTTAACCAAAGGAGTATCTAGCCGTCTTTAAGCAAAGGAATATCTAGACGTCTTTAACCAATGCAATATCTACCAGTTTTTAACCAAAGGAATATCTAGCGGTCTTTTAACCAATGCAATATCTAGCAGTCTTTAACCAATGCAATATCTAGCCGTCTTTAACCAAAGGAATATCTAGCCGTCTTTAACCAATGCACTATCTAGCTATCTTTTACCAAAGGGATATCTAGACGTCTTTAACCAATGCACTATCTAGCTATCTTTTACCAAAGGGATATCTATCGGTCTATAGCCAAGAGTATCCCGGAACAATTTTGTACTAAGCTCAGGCTGGGGGTGCTGGAGTTGAAATACATTATTGTGTAGACACCCAACCCTCTTTCTCTCAATGCCCCCTATGTCTTACTTATCACGCCACGGATCATATCCTGGTGAGGGCAGGGCTGGGGAGGGGATGCGGGTGGGGTGGGGTGTTGGTATGGAGCGTACGTTCATGAGCAAACGTAAAATTCTAAACAGGTTATGCTATGCCGGGGAGGGGTGGGAGAGGGGGCCGAATCGTGCATCTATCTATTTTTACTGCATGGCTCGCGCGACGTGTCTCGCGCGGGCTGCGGGTTAAAGGTCACGTGGAAGAGGGAAAACCTAGGTGGGAGGCCTAGCTGCTGTTATTGTAAGTCGTGGAACTGGGCATGGCCGCTGCTCTTGCACAATGAGTCACTAAAACTCAAGGGCAAGGGAGAGAACTGAAATCAAGGGATGCAATTGGGGGAAAATTGTCCGTGCTACCGAATGTTGCAATAGATTTTTTTTTTTTAAAAATATTGGTTAATTTAAAGATAATTTCAATTTAATTTTAATTATATATTGAAATAAAACAGTATTTATTAAGTCAATTATGTAGTAGACCTACATCAAGATATGAATGCGTCTGACATGAATTGCAAATAGTTAGGCTCATTCATTAAAATGTCAGTATTACTACCTTTAACTTAAACCAAACTTTGAAGCTGACTAGAGCCCTCATGCTGACTCACTCCTTGCATCTAGCACTAATCCTAACCCTGGTCATAACAGCGATACTGAAAGAAGAAATCTCCCATACGTTACTTAAAAATATCAAGTAGACGCTGTTGCAAGAGCGCACACGCATAGGCGTAGAGGGAGCAGAGTCGATCCATACTCCTCTCGCATTTCACATGTTTATAATACAAAAGTATATTTGCTATAAGCCGATTTAACCCAATCCAAACTAATCACTTATACCTACCCCCTCCTCACTACCTCCGCCCATTCCTTCCCTATCCTCTTCTTCCAACCCCCCCCCCCTTACATAAACTCCTCTACCATCTCCCACTACCCTTTTACCTCATTCGTCCCCCTCTCTATCATCCACCCCCCCACCAATCCCCTTCCCCCCCCCCCCCCTCCCCATCTAACCCTAACACTGCCCAGGCAATTACCTGTATCGTCAATATCATGTCTTCACTTCGTTAGCCTAACACGCCTCACCTGAACCGCACGTGTAAGGCCAGCTACTCACACCCCTCACACCCCTCACGCCCCTCACACCCCTCACGCAACCGTTTGTTATGAACGTGCCACAGACTTTTTTTCTGCTCTGCTTTCTTCATAATTGTTCGGTCTGCTCACAAAGCGTAGTTTAAAAAAAAAATCTTTTGTAAACATTGGTTAGATCGTGTTCACACATACCCTGGGGCCGTGTGAAACAGATCACGTGACTGCACTGTGTAATGTTTGAAACAGATCATCATTATTCATTACGAGCCGACCCGCGGCATATCATATGCCGCTATTTAGTTGTTTTATTTTCTACTTTTCAGTAATTCATAATTTGTGAATTCGACAGTACCAATGCTGCCACTGAAAATATTTGCTTTAAAACTCTATCAGTAGGTCGTTAAGAACGATACTACCCCCTCCTCCTTTACCCCAACCCCTACCTTCACCCTCCTTTCCCCCAAGCCCTACCCTACACCCCCCCCCCCCCCCGTGAAAGCAGCCTCCTCTTAGTTACCTCCCCTAAGTTTAAAATCGTTTCAAACTAAATAATCTGCCTCTAATAGCCGTCACTAAACCCGGCTCTACGAATGTAAACATTTAGCGTGAACACAGCTCACCAGACCATGTAGGGGTGGGGTGGTAGGGAGCGCGCTTACAGCTTGTTTTCTAGCGTCTCCCAGAAGAGAATTATATATATAGATAGGGACAGAGGAAGCTGTCGCTCCCCTGACATGTTTTATAAAGCGGCGCCTTTTTGTGTGGTAAATTTGTCTACTTGACTTAAAATAAATTCCAACTAGCAATAAAAGAAACATAATTCTATATTTTTGTACAAAAAGTAAAACTTGGCTCAGTTTTAAACACCTCCCTCCGAAAATCTGTCTAGCCCCTTGATGTTTGAAACTGTTCATCTAGGCACTATTCGCGTGACTAACTATTATCACGCTACAGCAATTATGAGCAATTTTAAACCGCACCCTACCCTACCCCCCTACCTTCACCACAACCCAAAACGTCAATGCAAGTATCCCCTTCCCCACACAATTAGACGTGCATTCGTATTTTACGTTACTCTACTCACAAAAATGTATTCAATAGAGTATTTTATATTTCATAATTGAAATAGTTTATTTTTGTGTGAGTGTGTTGAATCATCCAATCTTTCTCTCAGTTACATACTCATTAAACTCAGCTCACAATACCGCTTCATTTAGCCGTCACTATTTATAAACGTGCATGGGCGGACGTTTGATGTTTTTACCGGTAGGTGTTGATACAAAGCCTCTTGTGGGATGTGGCCCTCCTCCTTCCACGCCTTTATCTCTACCTCCTTCCACGGTCCAACCCCCCCCCCCCTTTGTCGAAAAAAATTTCCTCTCTGTTTACCACACGTCAACCCCCCCCACCCCCGCCCCCATGTCAAAAAGGTATTTCCATCTACCCCGCCCCACCTCTGGGATTGACATATTGTATAATACCCCCCTGGGGTAGGGCGGGGCCGAGAGCTTCAGCGAAAACATAAGCTCATGACTACTTCAATGTTGCATGGTCCTGACACTTTTTCTTTCATCCATGTCAATGAATGTGTTTAAACCCAAGGTATGTGGTAAAAACTAACCTACATTTAATGATACACTACACATGTTTATTTGAGCTAGACTGCTAACCCGATAGTTTCGAGTTTGAATCAGGGTTCAAGTTAGTAGAACGTCCCTGAATCTACCCAACTCTGATGGGTACCTAACTCACGGTAGGGCATAGTGCTGACCACATTATCCCTTTATATGCCGAAGTCAATAAACATTTGAACTCCACTTCATCTGCCAATGGATCGTTAGGTCTATAGATATAGAGGCATCTTTACTTTTTTTTTTAAATTTATTTTACAAATATTCATTTGGGGATAAAGAGAGATTTCATATTGAATAGTTATTGAGTTTAGACTTGCAGAAGATACTGAAGTCACACATTGATTTGTTTTGTCCACGTACAACAGCATCAGGCAGCAAAGAGACAGACATTGTATTATCAAAGAGAGCAGAGAAGATCTAGTAGACAAACAGAGTTGTAGTCATAGGGGGTCGTCCATAAATGACGTCACATTCCTAGTGTGGAGGGGCAGTTCGTAATTTTGTGAGGGTATAATGCGGAGTGGGGGAGAAGGGGGTGGAGGCAATTGCGATAGTTAACGCCAAGGGGTTGTGATCGTCTGAAAACAGGAAAGGAGATGTGTCGTCATAGGGATCGTCCATAGATGACGTCACACTTCAAGGGAGGAGGGGCGGTTCGTAATTTTGTGACCGTGTGTCATGAGGGGGGGGGAGGGTTGGAGGTAATGTGATAGCTAATGACACGGGGTTGTGAACGTCTGAAAACAGGAAAACAAATTTGCCCTTGTTGAAGGGATACAGGGTGAACAAGATGCAGCAGTTAAAACCTCTTGACAGGTGGAGGGGGGGGGGGGCAGACCGTTTTGGCATCAGTTCTACTGGACGCTAAAGGCAGAAATAATTTCCGCAACAAAATTTTTTTTACCTGGAAATTCTTCTGTATGTTTTTTTTTTCTGATCTAAATCTATTAGGTTTCTAGAAAACGCAGACTTGGGTTCACCATGAAGGGAAAAGAAAGATACTTCAGAAATGTCTGCTACTCTGTCTTAAAAATGCATTTTCTTAGCTCTGTATGACCTTGACATTGCCATTCGCACCGCGTGTTTGGTGCTTATCGTAAGAAGAAAATGGCGGATGACATAAGAGGGGAGGCCGGGGGTGGGAGGGGATGTGTAGATGTGCTACTCTATACACACTGGTTGTCGAGGGTCTGGCGATGGATGAAATATGGGGCGTGGTGTAAAGCTAAACGATCGGGAGAGGGTGGCGTATGGGGTTGGTAGATATCGCTTCAAGGGGGCGGCGTGGTAGCGGTACAGAGCTAGACTGCTAACCAGAAAATCTCGAGTTCGATTCCGGGTTTAAGTCAATAGAACGTCCAAGAGTCCACTCAGCTCGGATGGGTACCTAACTCACGTTAAGGAAAACAAAAGCGACTGGGCATAGTGCTGACCATACTATATATGTCAAGGTCACTGAAACAGATGAACTTTACTTCATCTGCCTCATATGTCTTGGGAAAAAACAGGAAAAGATGATGAAATATCGCTTCAGGCTCAATATTATATGTGGTGTGCGTAGTAAAACCTGCACCATTAGCTGAGCACATGGCTTCCCCTTCAAAAAGTTGTTTGGTAGAAACCAAGTTTTAAACAGAGCTCACAACTGATGATGTCATTTCCTGTATCCCACTTCCTGTTTCTTGAGCCTGTCAAGTCTCATTGTTTATTTTCACAACATTTATTTAATATACCACTTTTAATCTGTCAAAATTTTATTTTCCCAATACTAATTTAATAAACCACCTTTAAATCTGTCAAGATACATAACAAGAATGGTTTTTAAAGTGTAAAAAAATTTATTGAATAAATTCACTATGAAAATTTTTGAACTGTTAATGAAATGATATTTTCATAATGGACCATAAATATTTGTTCAATAAAACAGAACATTGTGATTGGATAGACTTAGCCTTGCTGTTAACATCTCAAGACAAGCATTAGTGTTTAGGCTATTTAAAAATTTTAAATTATATCACATCCACATTTAAAAATATGGTATTTATTTGTCTGTTTATGTCCATATATACGTTGGTCAAAATGTAAAACGTTGGCATCAGATCATACCTCACCGGTCCATATGTGGTCAGCAGGCCTATGTGTATATGTAAAATACATAGGTCAAATGTAAGTCAATAGGTCAACTCTTTCTCATCATAATTTCGACATTTTCACTTCATGATTATAAAACAGATGGTGGTAAACATTTGTGATAACAAAACAGGAAACATCTGTAACGTCAACGATAGGAATAGTTACTTCCTGTTTGGTAAAGAAAAGTAATGTCATAACCTCAGTAGTTAATTAGTCTGTCTAATTAATTAATGTAGAGTCTGTCTTGAGGTCAATGTGACATTAGTTAAAAATAAATCACAGATGGGACGGGGAAGAAAGTTGGTTCAATGTCGAGTTAATTTTAAGGTGGAATTTTTAATTTTTTGAATTCCGTTTCTTGCCTCCACCCCATCCGCCACTTCTTTGTATTGGCGCGTCCCGGAATGAAATCCTTTCCTTCATATTGATTGGTGGCAGTGTGGGCGTTTGGCTTGCTGTAGAAATAAAATTGTTAAATGACTGTTTTAGTAAATTAAAAGGATATTTTTGGGAATATTTTTGGTTTAACAGTTGAGTATTGTTAACTCAAATACATTTAGAATCAAAATGGGAGACAAGGCTATTTTCAACCCCATATACATGGAACAAAGGGAAATAGCTATAACAAATCAACAATGTGCTAAATGTTCATCTTCCCACTAAAACAAATAATCAGACCTAGCTAATGTGATGTATAAAAATTAATGCCACCAAATTACCTCTATGATGCAACTCACTATATTCACCAAAAAGCCAAACATCCATAAAATAATGCCCACAATACCACTCATAATGAAACTCACTGTATTCACCAAAAAGCCAGACATACATAAAATAATGCCCACAATCCCACTCATGATGAAACTCACTATATTCACCAAAAAGCCAGACATCCATAAAATAATGCCCACAATCCCACTCATGATGAAACTCACTATATTCACCAAAAAGCCAGACATCCATAAAATAATGCCCCCAATCCCACTCATGATGAAACTCACTATATTCACCAAAAAAGCCAGACATCCATAAAATAATACCCACAATCCCACTCATGATGAAACTCACGATATTCACCAAAAAAACCAGACATACATAAAATAATGCCCACAATCCCACTCATGATGAAACTCACTATATTCACCAAAAAGCCAGACATCCATAAAATAATGCCCCCAATCCCACTCATGATGAAACTCACGATATTCACCAAAAAAACCAGACATACATAAAATAATGCCCACAATCCCACTCATGATGAAACTCACTATATTCACCAAAAAGCCAGACATCCATAAAATAATGCCCCCAATCCCACTCATGATGAAACTCACGATATTCACCAAAAAAACCAGACATACATAAAATAATGCCCACAATCCCACTCATGATGAAACTTACTGTAATCTTCTCCCAGTGAGTACCTCCTCATCTGACTGGTGGCAAACATGTTAGAAGTTGAACCATGGTGGTCAGACAGTGGACTTGCCTGGACAGTTAAAAATACAATTGTTGTGATTCTAATTGTGATATGAAAACAAAGAATGAGCCATGGTGGTCAGACAGTGGACTTGCCTGGACAGTTAAACAAAAATACAATTGTTGTGATTCTAATTGTGATATGAAAACAAAGAATCAGCCATGGTGGTCAGGCAGTGGACTTGCCTGGACAGTTAAAAATACAATTGTTGTGATTCTAATTGTGATATGAAAACAAAGAATGTGCTATGGTGGTCAGGCAGTGGACTTGCCTGGACAGTTAAAAATACAATTGTTGTGATTCTAATTGTGATATGAAAACAAAGAATGACCCATGGTGGTCAGACAGTGGACTTGCCTGGACAGTTAAACAAAAATACAATTGTTGTGATTCTAATTGTGATATGAAAACAAAGAATAACCCATGGTGGTCAGACAGTGGACTTGCCTGGACAGTTAAACAAAAATACAATTGTTGTGATTCTAATTGTGATATGAAAACAAAGAATAACCCATGGTGGTCAGACAGTGGACTTGCCTGCACAGTTAAAAAAAATACTATTGTTGTGATTCTAATTGTGATATGAAAACAAAGAATGAGCCATGGTGGTCAGACAGTGGACTTGCCTGGACAGTTAAACAAAAATACAATTGTTGTGATTCTAATTGTGATATGAAAACAAAGAATAATCCATGGTGGTCAGACAGTGGACTTGCCTGGACAGGTAAACAAAAATACAACTGTTGTGATTCTAATTGTGATATGAAAACAAAGAATAACCCATGGTGGTCAGACAGTGGACTTGCCTGCACAGTTAAAAAAAATACTATTGTTGTGATTCTAATTGTGATATGAAAACAAAGAACGAGCCATGGTGGTCAGACAGTGGACTTGCCTGGACAGTTAAACAAAAATACAATTGTTGTGATTCTAATTGTGATATGAAAACAAAGAATGAGCCATGGTGGTCAGACAGTGGACTTGCCTGCACAGTTAAACAAAAATACAATTGTTGTGATTCTAATTGTGATATGAAAACAAAGAATGAGCCATGGTGGTCAGACAGTGGACTTGCCTGGACAGTTAAACAAAAATACAATTGTTGTGATTCTAATTGTGATATGACAACAAAGAACGAGCCAGGTAACCAGACCAGTAATTTACTGAGGTTGAAATTAAAAATTAAATTAACCATTTAGATTAATTTAAAACATCCCCCACTCCCCATCACCACACTTTAAAAGCAACCCCCTTCTCCTTCCAGGAGTGATGTGTTTTATGGATGACCCTCAATGATTCACAAACTGCAATGGATTTTCTGCCTACCTTTCTAAGATCCTGTGTTTTGCCCAGTTCATTCATCTTGTTCATAACATTGTCTATTTTATTGGAGTTGCTTTGTCTGTAAAGTGTAAATATTAATTAAATGACCAAATTAATTAACAAAAGACCCTTGATTATTACCGTATATAAAATAATTAAATTACTAGCCAACCAGCTTTCAACATGAATGGACCATCCACAAACCAAACAAAGGGAAAGGGGGAGTAACCAAATAAATTTGTGTATCGGTAGGCTAGATAATCCATATGCTCTTTAACCAAAGAGAGGTAACCAAGAAATATTTTAAATTAAATTGTGGCAATTAGATTTTCATGTGGACAAAGTTAAAAAATGAAGGCTATTTTCCAATTTAAAGAGAAATGTTTTTCAAATCGCATAATTCTAAAACTACATATAAAATGTATTTTCCTAACTCCAAGGTTTAGGTGCTGGCTAGTTAGGATCATATTAAAATGTTCCTTGAGATAGTGAATGAAAAGATGCAGCCTCACACTTAACCCACAACAGACCTTGGGTTTACCTATTGTATTGCAACTCTAAATAATATCCAATTGCAATATTCTTGTTGTAAACAATTCCTATAAAAATGCCTGAATAGTGGCTTAATAATTAACTAATTCATAAGTTAATAATAGCTTAATAAGTGTAATATTCGTCATGGTCTTACTAAACACATACACTAAGGTTTATCCTAGACCTGGTAATCCATTACAATATCGTATATTTATCTGAGAAATGATTACAGAAATGACAACACACCCTGGATTAATCCTTGAGCTGGATATCGGATAGTCCCCAACTTGTGTGTGAATCCACTCAAATGTTCTGTGTACTCGCGTGTGATCCTCCACCCTCTTGTCCAGATCCTCACGATGGATCTCCTCCTCCCTGGCTGCAAGAGGGAGAAGAATTTACTAGAAGATTACACAGGAAACTAGCTAGTGTGTAAACTATATGGCAAGATATATGACTGGTCTGATGGTACAGCATATGACTGCTAACAGAAGAATTTACTAGAAGATTACACAGGCAACTAATGTATGTTTAACTATATGGCAATATATTTGACTGGTCTGATGGTACAGCATATGACTGCTAACAGAAGAATTTTCTAGAAGATTACACAGGCAACTAGCTAGTGTGTAAACTATATGGTGAGGTATCTGACTGGCCTGATGGTCGACTGGTAACAGAAGAATTTACTAGAAGATTACACATGCAACTAACTTGTATGTAACTATACGGCAAGGTATTTGACTGGTCTCATGTTAGAGCCCATGACTGCTAACAGAAGAATTTACTAGAAGATTACACATGCAACTAACTTGTATGTAACTATACGGCAAGGTATTTGACTGGTCTCATGTTAGAGCCCATGACTGCTAACAGAAAAATTTTTACTAGAAGATTACACATGCAACTAACTTGTATGTAACTATACGGCAAGGTATTTGACTGGTCTCATGTTAGAGCCCATGACTGCTAACCCTAAAGTCTCAAGCCTGGATACAAGACTCAAGTCTATAGAATGTCCTTGAATCCACCCAGCCCTAAGAAATTAAAGGCACCTTACTACACTATCCCTCCACATGCCAAGGTCACAGAATCAGATAAATTCCACCTCAACTGCCCTAATAACCATCAATTCAAAAAGGGTAAGAATAAATTACACATTACAACAAAAAAAAACAACAACTGCTTAATGAAAGAATAACATAGTTTCTGTTTAAATATGGCTCATCAGGAATAACTTTTTAAAAACAAAAACATATAACTGAAGGTGAATACCCTGAAAATATTCCTTTCTTGGTAGGACTTTGGGGTGGGGTGGACGAACAGACAAAACTTTTCCAGATTCCTCCAACTTTCTGAACAGCTGAAGCCTTTGCTGGGGATCTGATGAGTTGAGGAAAATAATTGTTGTTAGCTATTTCAGCAAGTCAAGTGGTCAGATCGTAAATAATGCCAGTGGTCAGTCTATCAGATTGTAAAAATGTCAGTTGGTCCAGCGGTCACCATCCAATGAGCATGACAATAATTAAAAAAAGCTTGATAGTGCTGTAAAGTTATGTCAAACAAAACACACCCAGTTTGCTGAGTTTTTTCCTCCTCTCAGCGTTGTACTTCATCTTTTTGGCACGAGCCAGCATCATGTCTGTGGTTCTGGAGTCCTTGAAACCCCTGCAAGTATGACAGAGAGTTACAAGTATGACACTCAGGCAGTTCAAGTTCCACACTGTTAACACTAGTAATATCAAGTTCAGCTAAGCAAGAGAACAGGCACTATTTAATGTTATTTTATACCAATATCAGCTGGGCACAGAACTGACCACACTATCCCTGAAGTAACAGAAGCAGATGAACATTAGGTCCAAAATGGTAACTCTTTTACCAAAATATAGTAGATTTTAAAAACCAAGTTTGCTTGTGTTGTAAATTATATTTATCAACCATAACCTGCTGTTCCCTGCTCTTTATTTTTGAAAAAGATGAATTATGAACATGATTATACATAATTAATTGACCACATTTTCCTATAAAACCAAAGTCAGAAATGGTTAATGATGTGAATTGTCTCTTGACTTGAAGTATCCTACACCCTCAAGTTTTACCTCACATCACCACTCAACTAGACAGCACACATTGCAATGGGATATAACTGATTAAAGAGCAGGAATTTTAAACTTTTCAGAGTCTGCAGCTTTCACTAGAGAGCAATCTAATACATGACATGAAAGACAAAGGATGAGGGTGTGAAATGTAAGGGTAAGGGTGTAAAGTGTAAAGGAAAGGGTTTGAAATGTAAGGGTAAGGGTGTAAGGGTAAGGGTGTAAATGTAAGGGTAGGAAATGTAAGGATAAGAAATGTAAGGGTAGGAAAAGTAAAGGTAGGGATGTGAAATGTAAGGGTAAGGGTGTAAATGTAAGGGTAGGAAAAGTAAAGGTAGGGGTGTGAAATGTAAGGGTAAGGGTGTAAATGTAAGGGTAGGAAATGTAAAGGTAAGGGTGTGAAATGTAAGGGTAAGGGTGTAAATGTAAGGGTAGGAAATGTAAGGGTTAGGGTGGAAATGTAAGGGTGCAGTGGTGTGTGGATGTGCTGCTTACCATTCCTCTGATAACTCCTCCCTCTTTGACCTGACACTACCACTGGCCACTGAGGAAGGATAAGGTGAAGGTTGACTGCTAGGGGACATAACTGCCAAAGGTTGGGAGTTATTTTCCCTTAATTCTTTGAACGACATCTCTCTCCATGCCTCCACTGGTTGATCAGGGGGTGTGGGGGTGAAACTGGTATGTGCATTCCAATTCTCATTAGAGTTGATTTTCTTAAGCACAGGATATGAACTAAATTTAAAAATAAAAATACATTTTAAAAATTTAGTCTGTTAATAATTAAGAAACTAATAAATGAACTTGCATTTTAAAATTGCAAATATATATATATATATATATATATATATATATATATATATATATATATATATATATATATATATATATATATATATATATATATATATATTGAATTAAATGTATAAATTAAATTGAATGAAACGTGTGAAAATAGCTTTTAATCTAAATTCTACATTTTCTGGCAACTTATTTCAACAAATATTTCTTTTTGAAAAACTTCATTTTTGATTAAAAAAATTAACTTAAATTTTATAATTAGAATTTAAAATATTTAATTTATAATAATTACCTAGTCATAAATTTGAAAACTATCCTAGTCTATAAATGTTTTAAAAATATTCAAATCATAGTAAGTTGTAACACATATTAAAAACAAACTTTTACGTAATGAGAAATGTATTACAAGAAGAAACTGACCTCTGTGGAAGCTGGGGAACATCTGATGGACGCCAGACATCATCCAGATACTGAGGAAGTCAAATATTCATTATAACCACTACAGAAAGAAATGGCAAATACAGAATTGTTTTTAAATCTGGAAATGTATAGTGCCAGTTTCAGCATACAGATCGATAAGGTTTCTGTATAAAAGGTTGTAAGACATTAACAAAAATATGATCTCATAAAAGTTTCACCAACAACAACAAAAAAAGTATTCAGAGTTATCTTACTTCATCCAGCTCTCCAACATCCAGATATTTATCTATATCAAAATCTAGATCTTCCATATCCATATCCACATCGACCAGTTTATCCATGTCCAAGCTTTCATACCTGATAGACATGATTTTGTTTAAAACTTTATTTTAAAAGAGTTGACACAAAATGTTTAATGAGAAATTCCTGCAATGTATCATATTATTTTTTTTTTTTTTAAAACAAATAAAAAATTTTAAAACTTGCAACAGCTTAAAAATATTTTTAGTTTCCATACACAAATAATAAATCCTAATGTGCCAATGATCTTTTCAATAGAGGTTTTTTTTACCACTTTATTTTTCTTTTTTTTAATGGAAAGCTGTGGTCAAATGGTAGAGCTTACAACTACTTAACATGAAAGTCTCTGGTTTGCTTTTTTGTAATAAACTTTACAAACATTTACTGCTTAATTAAAAAAAAAACACAAATAAAAACCTTATGTTTTTTAAATGAAAATAGAATGGAAGCAATTCTACATGCATACAAATAAAATTTTAAAAAAGCTAGTTACAATATAATCTAACTTACATAAGTTCCTGGTTACTCTCAGCCACCTTGCTAGCTGGACCATCAGATTTAACCACTGTGGCTACTCCGGCTAAATCCATCCTGCCTGGAAGCTGACCAGCCTTGCTTGGTTGGGCAAAGTTGTCCTGTAATATTGCACTTTTGTTGTGGTCAGTATAAATCTGACCTGTCTGTTGCAGAAACGCAAAATTAAATTTGTCCTTTCCACTGGTAGTGGCAGGGTGAAGTAGACTAGAAGTCACGTGACTTGAATCAGTCATCCTGACGCTTGACTGATTGTTGTTGGAGTTTTCCCCTACCTGGGACCCCGCCAGTGAGGTGTGGGAATTCCCAGAGATGGCCATGTTGAATTTGTCTTTTTCACTCAAGTACAACATGCCAGAAGATGAAGGGGGTGGGTGGGGTTGATGAACTTTGACCCCTCCGTTTATCACAATGTTGCCCTCTGTGTCAGAGGATGATTCTTCTGAAGAACTGGATGACTCTTCAATTTTTGGCTTAGATTTCAAAACAGTCTTAGTTGCTGATTTACCTTGGTTGTTTTTTTTACTTTCTCCATTCTGCAAGCTGCCAGGGACAATAGAGTCAGGCTTGCCAGATTGGCTGTTCAAATTTTTTTGCAATGCATCCACTGAATGAAGTTTTGGAGTGGTTTTTGATGTGTTGCCAGATAAATTTTTACTATTTAAGCCTTCAATACTGACAGTTATGTTGGGAGTGTTGCCATACTCGTGCGAATTCCGATGCTCTGTCGCCATTTTGTAGGAAATATCACAATAGGAGTAATAAACATTGCACACAGTTTCCATACTAGCAGCTGATCCAGATAGTATTGTGCTGTAAGTTTTAAAAAAATGTTCTCATCAATGTAATAAAATTAAAAATAAAAACTATATACACTCAATTTTTTGTAAAAGTTTAATGACATTAATAATTATTAAGTAAAAATAACAAGAGTAATATCAAGACCTATTCTTTCTATGGAGCCGCATCATAAATTAGGTACATGTAATTAGGACTGTTCATTGGATGGTAAGAGATACACTATACGTGCCCTAACAAGGAGTTCAATTCAATCATTTACTCTACCACTCATGAGCGCTGTCTTACCCAGATTGATGTTCTATTAAAAAAAACTTACTTTATTTGGTTCTCAAAATCCATTTTCAGGCTCTGATGAAGTTTGATTTGAGCTGCGCACATTTCATAAAATTCCTTATTTTCTGGAACCCAATTTTCAATATGGTGTGACTCAAAGGGCTCCCCATTCAATGATTTTAGAAAGGGCAGGGTTTTCATTGTATGACTTCTGGAATGTTCAGTAATTATAGCAGTAGTGAGGTTATATTTTAATGCTGTGTACATCAAAACTATAGAAAACTAATTTGATTAAAAGCTGAAAAAAATTAAAATGACTACACAAACTATTTTAAAAATGTAATAACAAACATTATGCACCAATCTGATCATTCACAACAAACAATATCAACATATAAAAAAAATAGTGATTTGGCAACTAAAACTGGACACTTTTATTTAACATATGACACATTATAAATGTAACCTTTGACCTACATGTACTCATCTGCATATACATCCAGCAATGGGTTCCCATCAACCAATAATGTCCTGAGCTGTCTGTTACACTTCAAACCATTGGTTAATCCAGTTAACTCTTCAGCAGAAGAAAATAATATTAATATTGTTATTAAAGTTTTAAGACTATAAATAAATTGAAATAAAAAATTAAATTGACAAACAATAGATATAAATATCCATTCCTTAATTTATAATTAATATCCTCACTTTAAACATTAGCCACAGTTAGAAAATCAATAAAAGAATTGAAAATGCTAATTATGAAAGTGAATGCTCTTAATTAAAGTTTTGTTTCATAATTAAAAATATCAATATGAAAATGTTTTTAACAGTTGTATAATTACCAGTTATTTGATTAAGACTGAGGTCTAAGTAGTCCAGCATAATTAAGTGATCCATCCCTTGGGTTTGTTCTATGCTAGAAAAATTAATGCAAATAAAAATTTAACACAACAAAAATTTTAAATTTTAATTTTCTATTTAACAAAAAGATAAAACTAATTCAATATTTAGTACTTAGCCAATTAAAAAATATACTAAATATTTGAACATTGATAAAAATGAAACAAAGTATTTTAAAAAATAAACTAAAAATTTATATTTTATTCTTAAAAATGTTCCTGTCAAAATCAATATACATTATAAAAATTATCCTGAAAATGAACGTACAGGTTTTCACCGCAATCTAAGTGGCACAGAAGTGGCATCCAATATTTTCCAAAGTCTAACAATGAACTAATGCTGTTCTCATGCAGATTCAAATACTGCAGTAGCACCTGGTTCTTTAGTTCTGGCACCTGTGGAGGAAGGTCAAGGTCACATGATGAATGGATTAATATTTAATTAATGTCATAACCTTCACACACACAAAGTTGTTTTTAATTTAATCTATTTGAAAGATTCTGTAAAAAAGACAAAATTTTAAATTACCCACATTTTTATATTTGCTTTACCTAACCACTAGGGTTTCTTCCAGACCTTTTTCTCTGGTGGTGGGGAGGGGGGGGGGGAGGAAGCGGGATATGAAACTCCAAGGTGGGAGAGGCAGACACTGGTTAAAATTATATATTTTCTACATAAATTATATTTTTTCGACTTTGTTCTGGAGAGATACCTAAAAAATATTCTATTCACCACTTGAGGCTTACCACTAATCTTCAAAAGTTTTTAAAATTTCTAATACATGTTTTAAAAAAAACTTTCTCAATTCAATTTTAAAAGAAACAAATAACATTTTATAGTTAAAATAAGATAATAATAAATGGGCTGAGTTCAAACCTCAAGCAAGTTGTTAGAAGACAAATTCAGCTCAGTCAGTAAACAAAGCTTGCCAATGCCAGTAAAATGCTGCAGGAAGTTGTGGGAGAGGTCAAGCTGTTGAAGCGTGACGGCCTCGTCTACTCCATCACTGCTGACCAGCTGGTTATGGGACAGGTTGAGGGTGTGTATGCGACGTAAGGCACCCAGACCAGCTTCACAGTGATAAGTGATTGGTGATATACAAGTTTCAGTGATAAGTGATTGGTGATATACAAGTTTCAGTGATAAGTGATTGGTGATATACAAGTTTCAGTGATATGTGAGTGGTGATACCAGATTTAGTGATAAGTGATACCATATATAATGATAAGTGATACAATTTAGTGATAAGTGATTGGTGATACCAGATTTAGTGGTATGTGATTTGTGATATAAGATTTGTGATTTGTCATACCAGATTTAGTGATATGTGATTTGTTATACCAGATTTAGCAATATGTGATATGGGATAACTGATTTGAGATGAGTGAAATGTTATTTGTGATTGAGCAAAACAACATTTAGTGACATATGGTTAAGGGATATTTGATTTATTTATATGTGATTTAGTCATATAAGAGGTAGTGGTACATGATTCACTGATAAAATGCTAAAATGTTTAGTGATTTAGTGATACAGGTCTTAAAGATGTAAGATCAGATGACACAAAACAAAGTGGTACAATGCAAAGATTTAGTGATGACATTTAGTGATACTAATTAAAGAAAAATATGGGAAAGGGAAAAGAAATGTAATTAAATTTCAATAAATTATAAAATGTAAGATATTTTTTGGAATTTTAAAGTTATAGGCCTAAGTAAAGTTTGTTGCCATTTATTGGGAGATTCAGAAGAGGTTTGTTTTTGTTGACAAACTGGTTCGACTTCAACCTTAGTATCAATAAGTCCTTATAACAGGATGGGTTATGGGATGTTCTCATGACCTGTGATTGACTCCCACAAAATAAACCCAGAACCCAGTGCCTACATTCTATACCCCACAGCCAAAAAGTCTTTTTACTACAAAAAACTGTAACAAAATGTTAAAAGAATTAAAAAAAAACAACTCACAGATTCTGGTGATAGAGTTATGACTCAAGTCCAGCCACCTGAGATTAATACATCCGGTTAATCCATGGATGAGATTAAGTTTGTTGTGGGCAAGCCTCACTACCTGTAGACTGCCCAGATCCTTCAGGTCGACATATTCAATGTTGTTGTGCTGTGGGAACAACCACATCTTATGAGTGCTAAACTATTACACACCTTCAGGGCAACATATTCAATGTGTGCTAAACTATTACACACCTTCAGGGCAACATATTCAATGTGTGCTAAACTATTACACACCTTCAGGGCAACATATTCAATGTGTGCTAAACTATTACACACCTTCAGGGCAACATATTCAATGTGTGCTAAACTATTACACACCTTCAGGGCAACATATTCAATGTGTGCTAAACTATTACACACCTTCAGGGCAACATATTCAATGTGTGCTAAACTATTACACACCTTCAGGGCAACATATTCAATGTGTGCTAAACTATTACACACCTTCAGGGCAACATATTCAATGTGTGCTAAACTATTACACACCTTCAGGGCAACATATTCAATGTGTGCTAAACTATTACACACCTTCAGGGCAACATATTCAATGTGTGCTAAACTATTACACACCTTCAGGGCAACATATTCAATGTGTGCTAAACTATTACACACCTTCAGGGCAACATATTCAATGTGTGCTAAACTAATACAGCACAGACTGCAAAGCTCTCTAGAATAGTTTTGGGCATTATTTATTAGATTTATATTAAACCTCATTTCCCAAAACTGAAAAGTGATTATCCCAAAATTTTGATCAGTAGCAATTACTTAAAAATGCGTTATTCCAAATAGTAATAACATTATACAATGTGAAGTTATCTATATTTGTATCATTTAATTAAGAATTAAAATAAAAGAAAACTTGAAATATAGATACATTTGAAAATACTAAGATTAAAAACCCAGGCTTTATAAACCAATATTGATAAAATTTGAAATATACCTTTTCACCGCTTATAAAAATTTTTGTTTAAAAACTTTTTTTTATATATTTTACAATTTAAGGCATTTTTAACTACAAATTATGTGTGTATAAAATACAAATATTCTGTCTTAATTAAATAAACAAGATATGGGCAAGATAAATTGGACTAAAACCAAATTCTGGACAATATGAAGGCTATTTTTAACGCAGTTCTATAGCTATTCCTTTAATGTGGTGGAATAGCATTTATTATTTTTTTAATTAATTAAATTTAAAATGTGTGCCCAGCAAAGATTAGGTGCTCACCTCAGCGTTGACATACGTCAGGTGTTTACACTGAGTTATGCCGTCCAGACAGACAAGGCCACAGTTGCTGACAGTCAGGTGTTTGAGTGACCAGCACTGGGCCAGGGTGGACAGAGAACAAGCTGGCAAGTCTACCAGTGCCACGGAGGAGACCTGAACCAGATGGTTAAGTGGACAGGTTAATTAATTAATTAATTACTGCATGAAAATTTTCTAAGAAGACATCTAAATAAGATGGTTAAGTAAGTGGACAGGTTATTTAATTAGTTAATTACTGCATGAAAATTATCTAAGATGACAACTAACCCAGATGGTTAAGTGGACAGGTTAATTAATTAATTAATTACTGCATCATAATTTTCTAAGAAGACATCTAAACCAGATGGTTAAGTGGACAGGTTAATTAATTACTGCATGAACATTTTCTAAGATGACATCTAAACCAGATGGTTAAGGGGATAGGTTAATTAATTAGTTAATTACTGCATGTAAATTTTCTAAGATGACATCTAAACCAGGTGGTTAGATGGACAGGTTAATTAATTAGTTAATTACTGCATGAAAATTTTTTAAGATGACATCTAAATCAGATGGTAAAAGGGAAGTGCAGAAGCCAACACATATACAGATGCACTTAGATTTCAATGCATACTCCCATACCTACATTCAAAATTTCATGATGCCTTAGGATTTTACATATATAAATTAGCTGCATGAAACTTTTCCAGCTATGACTATAAGCTCAGAATGTGAGCAATCTTTTTAAATTGAAATTATTTCTTAGAAAAACTGTTACTACATTTTAAATGATATGCTAAAGTTTTTAATAAATAATGTATAAAAAAAAATTAAATAAAAGTATCTATAATAGTATGTACACCAGCCGCCCTTGACCCGATTCTATTGCAGGTCAACTTAAATTGATGGTACTAACTTGACGTAGGGTTTCTGAATGTGAGACAGTAAGTATCACAGATTCTTCAATGGGTGGGAACTTTTTTTTGGCAGAGGTTGGTCTCTTGTGTAGACTTTGTTTGGCTTGTACCAGCTTCCATGGTTCATTGCTGACCTTGCTGTAAGGAATAGATTTTAAAAAGTCAATTAGAGATCAGTGTACACTCTTGGTGTGGAGTGTCATTTCTCCATTACAGTTTTACTCATTCTGAAAACTTTCAATGGTGAAAACCTGAGCAATAACAGTTTTAACTCTATCCCAAATGTGATTCATTGAAATAGTGAAATTTACATAGGGCATCTTTATAACTTGTTACATTTCAAAGACAATTCAAATACTTTAAGTTAGATTTAAGTGTGTGGAATTGTGTAGATGGATAAAAAAAGGGAGGACTTCTAACACAAAATTCTTGAGTTCGGAACCCAGGCTAAAGCCAGTAGGATGCCCATAGGCCATGAGTTTTAAGTGGGATAAGGTAGATAAACAAAAAATGTATGATTGGGTCTAGAATGTATAGGTGACATAGAGCATGGGGTAGTATTTAACAGGGATAATTTAAAAAGGGTAAAGAGAGGGAACAGCCTAAATGCTTGAGATGAAACATACTAGGTTATATTTAGAAATAAGTCAAACAGGAAGGAGAAAATGTAGAAGTTAGGAAATAGCCATTTATCAAGAAGATCTAAGAAGTAAAAACAATAGAATAGTCCGACCAATTAAAAACGAGATGACGAAGGGGCACTAATGAAGGAGTTGACCCCCATAAATAAAAATTAAGCAGATTTCTAATAAATAAAATTCTGTCCCACCACATTATTGAGTCTGCCCTTCTTAAAGTCTTAAATAAGGGGACTGTAAGATGCCACAGAGGTTGGTCACTGAATACATCACATGTTCTTTTATATGGTAACATGTCCACAGAAATGGATGAACTTTACTTGTTAAATGTTGATGTGCACCTACCTCCATGGGGTACAAGATTTGATCCAGGCTATCCTCATTAGCTCCACTGGATCAGGTTGTGTGAGGGTTGGCATGACTGGGGCAGGTTGTGGGAGTGTTGGCATGGCTGGGGCAGGTTGTGGGAGTGTTGGCATGGCTGGGGCAGGTTGTGGGAGTGTTGGCATGACTGGGGCAGGTTGTGGGAGTGTTGGCATGACTGGGGGAGGTTCTACTGGTCTAGGCACTGGTGCCACAGGCGTGTAAGGGGAGGATCCACTGTTAGTTGCTGTCAGTATAGAAGGGTGTGATCTACTGTCCTTGTCTGTGAATCTAGGTGGTGGATCAGTTGAGACCAGGAACTCATCATTCGGCTGGTTATCTGATAGGCTGTTATTTTCTGTTTCTGCTTTGGCATTTTCATTTTTGTTGACCTGATCTTCTATGTTCTTTGCATGAGTTGCCTGTTGTAATTTTTCTTTAATTTGTTTTTCATCTTCCTTTCTTCTTAGTTCCTCTGCCTCCTTTAATTTCTTTTCCTGTTCCTTTTTTAGCCTTTCTTCCTCTTTCAATCTTTTTTCTTCTTCCTTCAGTCTCTTTTGTTCTTCTTTTTTCTGCCTTTCCTCTTCCTTTCTTCTTTGATCCTCAGCTTCTTTTAACTTCTTTGCTTCTTCTTTCTTCAATCTCTCCTCTTCTTTCTTTCTCATTTCTTCTTCTTTCAGTCTTTGTTTCTCTTCTTCCTTCTTTTTCTTTTCCTCTTCCTTCCTTCTCTTCTCCTCTTCTTTCTTTTTTCTTTCTTCCTCCTGTTTTTCTTCCTCTTTTCTTTTCTCCATTTCTTTTCTAGACACTTCTGCTTTTCTGGCCTCTTCTTCCTTTCTTTTAATCTCCTCTTGCCTTTTCTTCTCTTCTTCCTCCTTTTGTTTTCTTTCCTCAGCTTCTTTTTTCTCTCTTTCTTCTTTTTCTCTAAAACCACAAAAAAAAAAAAAAACATTTAAAAAAAAATTAAGGCCTAAATACAGAAAATGGTAGAACAACAACAACATATATTTTTAAAGTAGAGCCTTTTCAAAAATAATTATTCGATCTTATCTAATTTAATGAACACCAAGACTAAGTAACTGATCTAGGGGGTAATGATGGGGGGGGGGGGGGATGACCTGAGGGGTGGGGTAGTTGACAGGGAGTAATGTCCTGCTCCCACGTCAACCAGTATGAATGTTTTTATGCTTTAAATTAGTTTTTAAAAAAATTACAATTGTCACCACAACAGTGGCCATTTTAAAATATACATTCTTTAAAAACTATAATCAGGTTCTCAACGAATGAAGATAAAACCAACTCACATCTTGGCCAGTTTCATCTCATACTCCACCTCCATCAACCTTTTTGCATATCTCTCCTTTACCCTCAACTCCTTCAACTCCTCAAGATCTTTAATCTGTCTAGCCATCAGGCGACGAGTTCTGGATATTAAATCAATGTAAAATTATTAAAACAATGCGCTAATTAGTTATAGATGAGATCTAAGAAATACTAACTTAATGAATTAAAATTATATTCCTAATAAGTCAATTTAATCTATGTAGGATTATTTAAATCAAAGATAAATTTTCAACTAATTGTGGACTGGATCTAAGAATTATTAACTTAATGAACAAAATTTTAATCCTAATCAGTCAATTAATTGCATGAATTCTGTTCCAAATGAATTATAGGTTAGGTTTTTTAAAGATCAATATTTAATTATATAAAGAAAATTCTAGGCCTATTATTATTATTTTATCAAACATGAAAATTTACAATAAATTTTAAAATTATAACAGCAGAAAAATAGTTATCAAAATTAACATAGCCACATAGGGTCTTCATTAATGACATTACTTGAATTATAATCTCTAATACAGATTGCTACAGTACAAGCTAACCCCTGACCTATAACCTCTGTAAACCCTCTGTATTGCAGTGGCTGCCTTGTTTTGAGTCACCAACAATGACTCCTTCCAATGGTTAAGTGCCAGCTCATATTGAAACCTCTCCTCTTTTAGAAAACTCTCCAGCTTTTCAACCTCCATCTAGAAATATTTTGTACTTAACATGTAAACACATACAAAACAATAAAATATTCCAAAAATGTTTGATTTTTCAAATATTTCTTAACTACTGATTACACGTTTGAAATGTAATTTTTTTTATTTGTTCAAAGTCCTAGATATCTAGTTTACATCTACCCGAGGGTAGTTCACATGTACGTGTTGGGTAGTTTTTATCTATCTGGTTGTGATTCACCTCTACTTGAGTGTAGTTCACACCTATCTGTTTGGTAGTTCACACCTACCCAGCAGTAGAACATACACATTGAGTGGTGGTTCACATAGATCTGGTTTGCATTCACATTCCTGGCTCTAGTTCCACACTCTCCAGGTATCAGTTTGTGTTTACCTGTGGGTTCACGCCCACCTGGCAGTAACTCACACCTACCTGGTGGTAGTTCAAATCCTCGGCTAGCGCCAGCTCCTGCAGCTCTGTTTCCTTTGCCACCATCTCCTCTTTCATCTTGTTCTTCTCCTTGATCTTGGCCTTCTCCTCTTCCTCCTTTTGCTGTAGAGTTCTTTTCCTCTCTTCCTCCCAGGCCCTCCTTTTTTCTTCCTCTCTGGTGTGGATTTCCAGCGACTTAAAAAAAAATAATTTTAATAAACAATTTTTTACAATTCACTCAACTCAAATCAAAACAACACAGATAAGATGATTTGTAGATGTAGATTTTGATTTTAACGTAAAATATTAATTGCAGTTTTTAAATGATTTTTCTTTCACTATTCTTCTTGTTCACAAATAATTTTATTAAAATGACTAAAAAGGTAAAAGACGCTGAAATAGTGATGAAAATGCTGTGAATATACAAAATAATAAAAATGAAAACCCCCAACTTCTAAGAGTGTTTCTAAGAATAGCATTAGTCATCACAGCTATGAGCATAACATAACTTGTTGGTGAAAGTGTAAGCCTAGGCAGCTGGACAGAGAGATGACTAAAATGTCCAAACATATATAAAGATCAGAGAAATAGATGAACTCTACTTTATCTGCCCCTTGGATCATCTGTTTTGAAAGAATTTGTTACATGCATGTAATTGACATTTTTATTAAAAATCTTTTACCTAAACATTTTTCCTACCTCTAAAAGTTGACGTTCCCTTTGTTGAAAAGACTCTTCAGTCTTTTTCAGTTGACTTTGTATAAAATCTCTCATTTCAACCAGGGCTAAAACACCCACAAGTGGACCAGCTGAAATAAAGGGAAATAATATTTTTTTTACTTCCCTTCTGAACTTGAGGTTCTAGTAGAAGTAAAGATTCTCTGGATTGCAAGAAAAGTAATAAGACATCAACAAAACTTGAAGTTACCGTCCCATAAATGCCAACCTTTTTACCTGAAGAAATTGCTGGCAAATATACAAAGTAATTAAATATTTTGGAGATGTATTCATACCTTTTTCTTCACCATCAGAATCATCTTTGTCATCATTCATAGGAAGAAGTGCCGAACTGTTCACATCAGACTGGCCATTTGTAATTGCTTGAAGGACTTGACTATTGGCAAGCTTAGCGGCCTAATGAGAAAAATAGCAATGTTTGATGCACACTATATTTTAATACCCCTAATATCCTTCAAATGAAGGAAATAAAAATACCTGAAATGAGGTTCTTGTGTAATGAAAAAAGTATTAAAAGACTAATTGTTTATTATAAATCACGGCAAAACAATAATGTATCAAGTTTTTTCCTGATGGTGGTACTGTTAGAATTAGCTTTAAAAGGCAGGTAATAATAAGAGGAGTGATAAATTTTAAAAATGTAAATCGAGATTTCACAATATATTTCTTTTGGTACAACTTTTGCAGGTACAAACAAAACAGGTACTGAAATTTTAGCTAACAAAATTTATTATGTTTTTAAGGGGGCCATTGGGAAAGGAGTAACTCTGAATAAATCTTAAGAAAATAACCAGCAACTATTTTTTAACTAACTCAACATAATATTTTTGTTAACTTCATACCTCAATAGCCAGTAATTCCTTTAAAGTATCATCTTTTCTAATAGTCTGTCTGATTCCTTTTCTTGTTTCTGCTAGTTCTTTTTGCAGCTCAACAAATTCATTATATTCTTTATTTAAGATCTCCTCTGTAAAATCATCTTGCTCTATTTCCTTCAAAAGCTGAATTGTAAATAAAACAAATGTTGAGATTTAAATAAATGAATAAGTTCTATCAAAGATTATTCAGGTTATAAAACAATACAAAGCAAACATTTTAAAAATTAATAAACTAAGAGCTTATTCATTTTGATTTTTAAAAAATGAAGTCAAAGTAAGTTTAGTTAGTATAATGTTTGAATAATTATCTAAAACCAAATTTCTTTATGTCTAAATCAGAAAAATTTATCTTACTTTATATGGGGGTTGGGTTAGTGCTGTAGTTATAGTTGGGATGGGGAAGGTATAACTTAATTGTGTGTTAGCTATCGAGTTGCATTAGCCATTCAACTTAATAAGAACAGTAAACTAATTTTTCTAATATATATTTGAAATCAGGAACATTACCTTTTGTCTAAAGTCTTCCAATGACATGCCTGCTTCTTTAGCTGCATCTTCTAACAACTTGTTATCACTATAAACCACAACAGCTGTGCTAGTTTCTGCATAATTAAACAAGGTAAACTACATCAAATACTAGCAGTGAGTGATAATTATGAATCATAAGTTTTTATGATAGGAAAGTCAGGCAGGAAAGCGCATAGTTGTTTCTCCTAAACCATGCCAGTCCATAAGCCTCATTGTTAGAGTATTACACTATCTATAGGAATTATATCTAGGTATATGAGAACAATAATTACAAAACTTTGAAAGGCAAAAATATTTCTCACAAAAACTAGTTTAGTAAAATAAAACTAATATCATAAGATATATTTAAAGGAGACTGTATAAACAAAATTATAAATCTAAACCTGCTGGTGAGTTTGGAAAGCCGTGCAGAGCCTCATCACACAACAGCAGTTCTTTCTCCATCTGTTCTGTTTGACTATGAAGTGAATTAAGATACACTTCAACCTCTTCTGGGAGCTCCTGTAATAGCAGCAATAAATTCATACAACAACTAAATCACTACTAAAAAGGAGGTAAAATAATTAACATTACAAAAAAAATTGTGTATGTGTATATGTATATGTGTATAAATTATAAATAGGGTCTAGAAGTTGAAATTAAACAAACATATCAGAGTCTAGCAAATACTAACTCTAAAAATGGATCTTACTATGTTATCCAGAGCTTTTTCAAAATCTGCTATGCGTTCGGCATTTTGGAGAATCGAGACATTCTCATTGGGATCATCATAACTATCATCAATTTCCACATCAATATTCACACCTAAAAGCTCCTCCTCTAATAAAGCTTCCATTGCTGAATCCATTTCAGCACAGGATGTATCAATCATTATTTTTAGTGTTGTCTTGTGTATAATGTTCAGCGTACATGCACTCAGTAGTGTAGTTGTGTAAACATAATAGTGTCACTGACAGTGTTGAGTGTATACGGTGTCAGCTTATTCCTGTAGTAAAGATGATTGGTTTATTAAAACATTTTACTATAAATATTCCTACGTGACTTTGCAATCAGCTTCGTTGATTTTATAGTTTAATATTTTAATTTTTTTTTAAAAGTAGGCTATATTTTTTATCATTGGGAGATTGCAGAGATGTCTTCCATCCATTGGCGCATCTGTCAATTTAAAGTTAAGTTAGTTAGATATAACGTAAAAGTTTGCTAAAAGCAGAATAGTTCCATTTTTATGAGCATACATATATAAAGTGCTAAACAAGAGCAAATTATTTACTTTTTAAGGATAATGTTGAATGCTGTCCTGTCAAAACGTTGATTCGTCACCATGTTGTTTACGCTGTTGGTATGTAGTTTATTAAAATATACACCGCCGGGTTTAGTTATTTAAAAAGTTAACTTTTTTTCAACGGGCCAATTAAGTTATTAATACAGCCTTAGTTTAAAGATGTAGTCTAGTTGTTTAGGTATTTTTTTTCTTTGATAATACAATAATAGTTGTCATACTGCAATAATGAGTGTTCAAAAGATGAAATATAAAAATTTATAATCTAGGCATTAGCCCTAATTAAAAGAACATCTGTTATTTCCAAGTTAGTTTCAAGTGTCATTGTCATTTTGTGTGCTCAAATGTAAAGAATTGAATATAGAAATCTATTTCCAATATCTAAATTTTAAAACGATTGTTTTTATTATCTTTGAAATAATAAATAGATCTAGAATCTAGGCCTTTTAAAAAAAAATGGTAAGCGAATTCAACTCATCCACTATCTTCTGCAATATCACAAAAAATACTCAAACCTTCAGTTTATTTGAAATTTTATTTATTACAAACTTTAAAACAGTAAATAATGTTTACTAAATTAAATAAGGCTTAATATTTAATATTGCTTCCGGGAGGGAAGGGATGGACAGTAGTTAAAGTATATTCTGTTTCTATTGCGTCCCGATGGGGGGGGGGGGGGTAGTTGGTATTTCACTATTTGTGCTCCTTGCAAGTGCATCGGATTTCGGGGAGATACAGATACGTAAAGGAGAATCTATTTAGATCTACATTCGGCATTTAATAGTCAAATCGCAGATTGGTTTATTTTATTGCAACTACAAATCAAGCAGTTTCTTCCAGGTATCTCTTCGGGTGGGGGGGGGCGAAGAAAGTCTACCGCCCCCCTGGAAGAAACACTGAAGTTAAGTACGGCCTACATTTTTAGTCGCTAGGCAAAGTAGTATACTATTGTATTTAGATCTAATCTACGTTTCCTTAAAACTTGCTATTTAGTATTTTAAATGTTTAGCTGACAAGTGATATTCAAAACGAAGTAAATTTGATTTTAGCATTGCGGGTAACACATGCATGCTTACTTGATATTAACTCTTAAGTGATGATGTAAACATCCGTCATGGAAATGGATGATACAGCTGTAAAGTATGGATACAGTTATGATAAAAAGGCTACTTATTTAACTGAAAACAACAATATTGAACCAAGAGATTTATATTTAATCAACAAACACATGCTGTCTACAATATATTTTAGTGTTGCTAATATTTATAGCCCGGGTATGCGAATTCGATTTGTTGTTACTGTTTTTGTGACAGCAGTTTTTCTTTGCGGGTTGTCATTCGGTGTATTCTCAAGTTTTCCAAGAGGAGCATTAAGCTTCCTGTTGACTTACTTTGGACTAGGCTCAGGAACAAGTCATTCTGTGCACAGCGGAAGAGTGAAACTTGGGCTTTTTACTGATACATTGCAGTTTAAATTTAAGGATGGGTTGAAACAACAACCACCGTGTTTTACAAATGACCATCAGAATGACAACATAAATCTAGAACAAAAAGTTAACATAGATTCTAATACAAATTGTGAACATGTTTCTTCTTCACCACACACTTACTATGACACATCAGTTAGTGTGAGATACAAGCAGAGATTCACAGCTAGCAAAGGTTTGTGCATTGGTTACAAATGTAGTTAGCCTAATTAATAATTATTATAAATAACTGAGTAGGTCTAATACTCTAATCTAAATAAGTTTTAAAAAAAAATTTAAAAGTCATTGGCCTACATTTTAATAGATTCATAATTATTAATTAATCATATAGGCCCTACTTGTGCAAAATAATTTGTTGATACTTTTCTATAGGCCCCTAAAGTTTATTATTCCCATTTAACAAGAAGTGTTTTTGTAAATGTCGCAAGACAGGCTATTGTGATTGAGCAATAGCAGTCTAGCACTCTATAAAGAATGTCTTTTATTGAACTTTAAAAAAAAACATAATGATAATGGCCTATTAAATTAAAAATAATTTCATATTGTTGACAAGTTTAGCAAAGCTACACATCAGGTTTTCATGCTTTTGTCTCATAGGACAATAACATTTCTTATAATGTGTGTAACAAAATGAACATAATTTTTAAATTTCTGAATAGATGTTAAACGAGAAGCAGTTGCAGCAATGAATATAGCTCTAGATCTTCAAAACCGTGGCAAAACAGACAAAGCAATGAAAGTATTTCAGCATGCACTAGCGCTAGACCCATCTCATGCTGACATACTTACAGCATTTGGAGAGTTTCTCGAGTGGCATGTTAAGGACATAGTGAAAGCTGACCACATGTATCATATAGCTCTAGAAAATAGCCCTGAACATGGTAGGGCCCTGCAAAATAGAAAACGCACAGGTAATAAAAAATCTTTATAAACAACAGTCAGTATCGTAATTTAAAAAAATATAAATCTTGAATACTGCAAGTTAAAATATTTAACTTCTACTTGCTTGTTTAAAATAATAGTCATATATTTGTCATAGCTTCCCTTTTGTGTATCAAATTATACCATAAAATCACCATTCTGCTACAACTTTTTACATAGATCTCTTAAATTTAGTTATACTTGTATACATTTTATTTATTTCATTCCATTTGTTTACATTTTTAAAAAATTTAGGTCCCATTGTTGAAGAGATAGATCAAGCACGCTTCAATCGAGTGGACAAAAAAAGAACATTACTGTATACCATACCACCACATCATCCGGGGCTACGAAGAGCTAAAAGGGAAGCATATTTTGCCCACATTTATCATACAAATGCCATTGAAGGGAACACACTGACACTTGCACAGACCCGATCAATCGTTGAGACCAGAGTAGCAGTTGGAGGCAAGAGTCTCAGAGAGCAAAATGAAGTTCTTGGACTTGATGCTGCTCTAAGCTACATCAACAGGTGGCTTATATATCTAACTTTTTAAAATTTTTGTTTTATTTTGTTAAACCTTATGTAAAATTATATATAATAATTTATATATAATATAATAGATAATTGAAGTATTTCCAATTCAATTGTAGCACTCTTGTTGGACATGTTGGACGACTTACTCTGCAGGACATCTTAGATATTCATATTCGAGTGCTCGGATATGTGGACCCAATCGATGCTGGTAGATTTCGTACTACTCAGGTGAGGCATATTGTAACTGAATTTTGTTATGTAACTTTAAAAATGTAAGCTTTTGACATTATTTACGGGAATAACTAACAACTGAAAATTGGAAGCAGATGCTTTAATGAAATAGTATTTTAGATAGACATTTTTGATACAGTTTTTTTAATAAATAAAGCCGATAAACTGGAGTAAGTATTTGTTACTTATGCATATGAAGAAATTGTGTGGTTGGTACTATGTCCACTCACCATTACTGTCTCTGGCTCAGTTTGGGAATCAATCAATGGTGAGTGGGCTAAGAGATAACCTATGGTCTTAAGCAAACTGAAGACTTTCAGGCTAGAAGGAAGGGCAGTACAATACTACTTCACTGTCTTTAGTTTAATTAAGGGATAACCGGATGTTGAGGGTCAAGACAAACATGTACTAATAAGCCAAAGTTAGGCTACCATTTTTTAGTTTTAGTTCAATGTTCAGCTACAAAATGAATTTCTTGTGCAAGGATGAAATTTCTTTTGTTTTAATTTCTTTTTTATCATTGTGTAGGTTTATGTAGGAGATTTCATCCCGCCAGCAGCAAGAGACTTACAAGATCACATGACCCAGCTGATTGAATGGCTCAACTCTGAAGAAGCCCTCGCTCTCCACCCTATTGAGTTTGCAGCGCTCGCTCACTACCGTTTAGTAGCTATACACCCATTCTTCGACGGCAACGGACGCACCTCACGCCTCTTAATGAATCTTATTTTAATGGAGGCTGGCTTTCCACCTGTCTCTATAGAGGTCAATGACAGATTGACATACTACGAAACTCTACAACAAGCCAATGATGGGGACATCCGACCATTTATCCGTTTCATTGCTGACTGCGCTGAGAGAACGCTGGATGAGTATCTCTCTGTGACTATGGAAAACGCAGAAGTTGTCTTGCCATCTGTTCACAGAAACAAATTCATGCCACAGGAGAGGGTGATTTATGTTGATAAAGATGAAAAAGATGATGACGAGGAAAAACAATCAAGCAATGGAAATGTAATAAACAGTGCACAAGATGAAAATTCTTGATGATACTTTCAAGTAAATTTTCATCTACATCCTTTAATTTATTAACACTTCTAAGAAATCTGCTATTTATTTGTAAATAATAAATAATTGTTCTGTATTATACCATGTACATATAAAATATGGAAGGGCAGGAAATAATGTACAAAAAAATTATGGTTCAAAGCACAAACATCCCGGTTTTACCTTAAATGAACTCATCTAAATGTAAAAAAAGAGTGGTAAAAGTACATCTGTTAACTCTGTAAGTTACTAAGCAGTAAATATTTGCATACAATAGATTTTATTGATAACTTTTATCTAATAATTTTTTTTAAAATCTAGTCAGCTTCTCTCTAGTTATAATTATGTTGATCTTCAAATTGGAAAATTGTCTAAAATGTCTGTTAAAACCAGAAATCAATTGTCATGTTAGGTAACTCTGCTGAACTAAAGAGCTCAATGGTAGTAGTTGCTGCTGATCTGCAATGTGGATTTTAAAATTTGTAATGCCATGCTAGTCTAATGTTTAGATTACATAAATCCTATCTCTTGTATATCATATTACTGTTTATTTATTATTGCTGCACTTTTTTTTTTTTCATAGAGTCTCAGGAGTTTGGCTTATTAAAAGAATGTGTCATTATTATTAATTATTGGAAGAATGGGACTTCATAGTATAATCTATAAAAAATCCCTAAACAATTTGTTGAAAAAAATGTATTATTACATTTCTAAAGCATTGTGAAAATAAATAATATTAACTTCCTTTTTAGTCATTAACAGAATTTTTTAAAATAACATACATGTCAAAAAAAAAAAAAAACCTTGAAATCTTTGTTTTCTAAAAATTTAAAGTTTATTTTAGCTACTCTTTGTTTTTTTACGTACACACTGAGAAGGAATACTTCTGTATATTAAGAGTATTAAGATTTTAAAAATAAGAACAATTGATTTTTTTTTTCTTATGAAAATTGTTGATACAAAAAGTTAAATGTTTTTATAACTTTTAAACACAAAGCAAGATGTCAAAAAAGATTAATGGACTAAAATTTGTTTTTCAACTTTAGATTAATTTAGTCTATAGTCGAACAGTACAAGGCTACACTGGTATGTTTTTTTGTGTATAACAAATCTCTCCTGTACCATCATGCTTATACCACAAGAACCTAATAAATGCTAATTTCCATTTTAAATGCTAATTTCCATCAGATAATCTTTTTTTTTAGAAAACTTCATGCTACCAATATTTTCTTATTTGTTCTTAATTTTTTTCTTTTTTTTTGAATCACATTTTCTAAATATATAGGCATGCTTTATCTTAATAGCACTTGAAACACACATACTCAAATTAAATAATTTTTTGTTTTTTCGTTTTGTTCTTTGTAAAACAGCAAAATATGAATATTTCATATCATGAGCTTTCTGCAAATTTAAACAAAAAATGTATATGATTTTTTAACATTTTTTATCAAAACTTTACAGAAGTCTTATTTTCCTTTTTTTTTACCATGGCACTGATAATTTAGATATTTTTCTGTATTTTGATTAATTTTAATTGATCTTTTGAGACATCAAAAATATCTACAAATGAATTTTATATCAATTAACTTTCCAAATTAAGAACAACATTCAACCTAATTTTTTTTATCCATTCCCAACTTGGTAATTTTATCTTTTAATTCTTATGAAAACATAATGTTTAAACATTTTTTGTGTGTCTTTATTTCTCTTTAACTTAGAAAGCACCACTTTTGTAAAAACCTTCACTATCATTTCAAATCAAATTGAAAAAATAGCACCTTTGAGAAAGAAAATTGCAATTGTATTCATTTAAAAAGAAAAGACTTTTTAAGCATTTGCACATTTTCATAAAAATTTTCAAAATTCAGTTGTTGTTGTTATTATACCAAGATTTGTTCTGTCAGAATCTACTTTAGTATTTGCTCAAGCATGAGAATTAGACTGAACCTTAATCTTCACATTGTAGCTTAAAAATGTTTTCTGTAGTTAACTAAGCAATTTAAAAGATTGATTTAGATAAATCTCATGTCAGTTCTGTTTTTCTATAACTTTTTGTATAAAACACTTGTCCCCCTTTATCATAGGCAGTCTTGATTTTGTAAAAAGAACAGTTATTTCCCCTGTATCATTTTGAGATTATGTAGTATAAAGCACTGTTGTCTCCCCTGTGTCATTTGTACTTAACTGTTGAATCTCTGAACCTCACAAGTTAAACTATAAAACAAAGGCTGTGAATTCCTGCATGTTATTCTGTGTTCTTGCATGTATTAATATTTTGTTAATTACCCTTGTAATTCACTTTTATGTTACAAATATTATACTGACTATTTTTATTGTTGGATTGTTAAATCAGTGGTTTAGGAGTTGACTCATAAATCCATTACCCAATATTTTTACATGCCACTGCCTCGGAACCAGGTGAACACTACTTCACCTGCCATACCAACGATCAGGTCGAGATGGCTACTTTACCTTTTTTTTTGTACATGAGTTCATGCTTTGAATACCTTTGTTGAAAATTAAAATATGGAAGTTGTAGAATGAGTCTGGGTTTAGTTATATCTGAGGCTGTGGAAGTTATATGAAGGGAAGTAGTAGTTTTAAGGGGGGAGGGGGCTATGGAAGTTAAGTATAGAACTGTACAAGTTATTTTAAGCTTTAATAGTTTGTGGCCATTATGTTTATAGCTGCTGTAGTCACTTTTGGGGTTAAGGTAGTTATGGTGTAGGGCTGTTGTAGTTATGTATGGGGTTGGTAGGTATTTTAGGGTTGTTGTAGTTACATATGGGGTTGGTAGTTATGTGTAGAGCTGTTGTAGTTACAAATGGGGTTGGTAGTTATGGTGTAGGGCTGTTGTAGTTACATATGGGGTTGGTAGGTATTTTAGGGCTGTTGTAGTTACATATGGGGTTGGTAGGTATTTTAGGGTTGTTGTAGTTACAAATGGGGTTGGTAGTTATGTGTAGAGCTGCCATAGTTACATATGGGGTTGGTAGGTATTTTAGGGCTGTTGTAGTTACATATGGGGTTGGTAGTTATGATGTAGGGCTGTTGTAGTTACATATGGAGTTGGTAGGTATTTTAGAGCTGTTGTAGTTACATATGGAGTTGGTAGTTATGATGTAGGGCTGTTGTAGTTACATATGGGGTTGGTAGTTATGTGTAGGGCTGTTGTAGTTACATATGGGGTTGGTAGTTATGATGTAGGGCTGTTGTAGTTACATATGGGGTTGGTAGTTATGGTGTAGGGCTGTTGTAGTTACATATGGAGTTGGTAGTTATGATGTAGGGCTGTTGTAGTTACATATGGAGTTGGTAGTTATGATGTAGGGCTGTTGTAGTTACATATGGGGTTGGTAGGTATTTTAGGGTTGTTGTAGTTACATATGGGGTTGGTAGTTATGTGTAGAGCTGTTGTAGTTACAAATGGGGTTGGTAGTTATGTGTAGAGCTGCCATAGTTACATATGGGGTTGGTAGGTATTTTAGGGTTGTTGTAGTTACAAATGGGGTTGGTAGTTATGTGTAGAGCTGCCATAGTTACATATGGAGTTGGTAGGTATTTTAGAGCTGTTGTAGTTACAAATGGGGTTGGTAGTTATGTGTAGAGCTGCCATAGTTACATATGGAGTTGGTAGGTATTTTAGAGCTGTTGTAGTTACAAATGGGGTTGGTAGTTATGTGTAGAGCTGCCATAGTTACATATGGGGTTGGTAGGTATTTTAGGGTTGTTGTAGTTACAAATGGGGTTGGTAGTTATGTGTAGAGCTGCCATAGTTACATATGGAGTTGGTAGGTATTTTAGAGCTGTTGTAGTTACAAATGGGGTTGGTAGTTATGTGTAGAGCTGCCATAGTTACATATGGAGTTGGTAGGTATTTTAGAGCTGTTGTAGTTACATATGGGGTTGGTAGTTATGTGTAGAGCTGTTGTAGCTACAAATGGGGTTGGTAGTTATGTGTAGAGCTGCCATAGTTACATATGGAGTTGGTAGGTATTTTAGAGCTGTTGTAGCTACAAATGGAGTTGTTAGTTCTGTGTAAGGCCATTGTAGTTTCATGTGCAGCAGTCACAGATCTATTAGCAGTTATGTAGGGATGTTGTAGTTACACATGAGGCTCTGCAAGTTTTGTCATGTTTCTTTTATCAGGGTGGGTCTGATATGATGGAATCAAAATGTCTCTTTCATGCCCTTTCGGCATATTGAATTGAAATGGATGGGGGGAAATGGTAAAAATAAATTTCTTTTTCTCCATGCATTGTAAATTAAAATGTCAAATTGATTACAATTAGATTTCTGTAGTTGTTTTTTTTTTTAATTTGTATTTTCTTGTTACAATACATACTCATCACCAAAAAAAACAGTTTTTTTAGTTTTAGACTAAGTTTGCATAGAAAATTGAGCGAGCAAGAGAGAGAAATAAATAAATGAATGGTGCAGTGCCAGCAGATACGTTATTGAAGTATAAACTTACGTAAAAAATAAACAAGGTTTTAATTATTATTTTTTTGACCTCCCCCCCACCCCCCCACCCCACACACACACAATTATTTCATTTTCTGAAACTTATAAAGTCAATTTCTCTCAAGCCATGGCTGGTCAATTTCTCTCCCCCCCCCCCCCCCTTTCCCCCACACACACACAATTTTTTCATGTTCTGAAACAAATAAATGACTACCTTGATAAAGAAGCAACGCAAGCAAGGGTGAACTCAAACAGTGTATTTAAACAAAATCGTGGTGATTTTGTGAATCATTTTGATCTTATTATTCAATTTCCCATAAGCCATGACTGATCAATCTCTTCCCCCCCCCCCCCCCCCGACCCACTTTAAAAAAAAAAAATCCGACGAACACCCATGACCGTGAGTGAGCAGTTAGGAGAGACTAGGGTGGAGCGGCTGGGTGAACATGTACATGTTGTCCCTGTGACACGGGACCAGGTAGGTGTGTTCAGTGAGCCGTGACGGCGTTGACTGACAGCTTCCCCACATCGGCTGTGTCGGCTGCTCTACCTGGCGCATGCTCGCTGGCACCTAAGGGTCAGACAGGTCAGAGGTTAACGCACGTGTTTCTATACTATAGTGCATGTGAACTCACACTCAGACGTTGTCAGGGATAGAGTTGATGTCAACTAGCAAACGTGTAGGTTCGACTCCAAGTCAAGCAATGATGTGTTAGTTGGAAGGTCGTATGTTCGTAAAAGTTGTCAAATGTAAATCATGTGTCGTTTGAGTTTTGGCTCGGTGAGTTGACTGCTAGATGCTAGAATTCAAAATTATCATTAAACAACACAGCAAGATTGGCAGACGTATTTAAGTATGCAGCTATCTATTCACAGAGGTAAGCTTTCCTCATATAAACGCGTATGTATTTTGGTAAATCTCAGTTATTTTAATAGGTGGCTATATCTTTTCAAAACAGCAGATTTGTAGTTAGCGAATATGTAGACTTACGTAGAATACATTATAAATAATGACGGTCGCTTAACCAAACAAATGTTGATGTTAAATTAAAAAAAAACTTAGTAAACACGTGAATACCTGCTGTACTCGTCGGTACCGGGGCTGCTCACAAGGCCACGGAGGGCGCTGGAGGGGCTGTGATGGCGGCCTTGACACCCCCTCTGATACCCACTCCGGGTGTACGACATAATTGGCCTTGCACGAGAATGCATTCTACGATTTTAAACGTGGAAATTTTAATGATCATAGCATGAAGACTTCCTGCATGATTACAAGCGTGCTGACTATTTGAAAAGCTTAAATCTGTCGTATAGATTTTTGTTATATTGAGACAGTATTAGATACAACCTCCAAGGAATATAGGGGTAGAGGCAGTAGGAGAAGGGGGTCGTGTAAACTACTACTTCTTCATTCTGTCCCTATCTTTGTGTTGCATTACCACCGCCAACATATTTATTAAACTGATTTGTTAAAAGCAGGTAAAAAATGAATGTGGGGAACTTCATTTAAACCAATTAGGGCTATAAATAGAATCCGAATTCGTCCATTGATTAAACCGGTACCACATGCACACGAGTGACGACACACGTCTGCTTCACGCTTCAGTGAACACGTGGGACGAGTGGGCGAAATGTAGATTTTTTTTTTTGTTTTTGTTGCGGTCATACCTGACTGATTTAGCATGTCGACACAACAGAGTTGCAGTTTGTCTGAACGTTTGCTAGTGTGCAGAGTGTGTGTATGTCTGCACTAGTGGCTAAAGACAAATGGCTTATTAGAAGAATCTCTCCAGTGAGGTGTCGGTACTTTTGGTACTTTTGATACCACAATACTCCATTCCGCCAACTCCCCACACTCATATATATATATATATATATATATATATATATATATATATATATATATATATATATATATATATAGCCTATATATACATGCATATATATATATATATATATATATATATATATATATATATATATATATATATATATATATATATATATATATATATATATATATATATATATATATACATACATATATATATATATATATACATATATATATATATATATATATATATATATATATATATATATATATATATGTAGCTGAGCTACTTGTTTCAGAACACTGCTTGTTATTATTAGTTCTGTAAGTACAAAATTGCTGACCTTTACATTTTAAAAATTTACTTAAGGTAATCGATATCGCGATTTGTAGTCTGATATCGTTGACAGTTTCGTCACTGGGACGGGTGACGACCGGTGTATTAGCTTACGGTGTCGACCCCTCCCGTATATAAAAAGTAAAAAGTAAAGTTTCCCTTTCAAACCTGACGGTCTATGGGACAAGTGAAGTAGAGTTCACTTGTTTCTGTGACCTCGGCATATGAAGAGATAGTGTGGTCAACACTATGCCCAGCCGCCTTTACTTTCCCTAACGTGAGTTAGGTACCCATCAGAGTTGGGTGGACTAAGGGACGGTCTACGGACTTGAACCCGGATTCGAACTCGAGACTTACGGGTTAGCAGTCCAGCTCTCTACCGCTAGACCACTGCGTCCCCCGTATATAACATTATAGATATTAAACCGGGGGGAATGCATATTTTCTCATTGAAAATAGCTAGATTTCGTTTTGTCGCCACCCCCTTTGATGGTGTCACCCGGTGCAGTCCACCGTCCCCGCCTTGTGACGCCATTGGCCGTAGATATAAATAACACCACGTATACCACGCCACGGTATCGAATACATTGAGCTCATCTCTGCGACTGCCTGTTGTAAGTGACGCTCCAAATGGGCGGCCCTCAACCACCTCCCCCTAGCTACGCCATACCACATAAGAATCTATTTGCCACTAGTGCCTAATAAGTCACACACGATTAATAAAGAACACAGTACATTTATTTTCGTCACGTGACCTCATCACCCCGTGTATATTGTATAACTTACCAGGTCAAAGGTCAGAAAAGCGGTGATCGCTAGTGACCTGGCCTAATTCAGCCAAACCTGCGCTAATTATAGCCTTACCCCGAATATGCTGTCCTGGTGGAACGTATTCTTGAAGGTCGGTTCAAGGTCACTGTGAGAAAAATCAAAAACAGATGAGTCGACACATTTTGATATGCTTATCATTCACGATACACACATTACATTGTAATACATCGTAACACATCAGTCGTATTTCTACACAACCATCACATTGCAACACATCAGTGACATCGTTACACATTAGTTACATCACACAGCACACCAATCAGACCAGAACATATCGAACACACCACAGTATTTTCAACACAGTATAACATATTCATTACATTATAACATAGACTTAAGATCTTCGTCAGGGTAAAAATAAATTGCAGCTTAAGAGATTTGACACCGACTTGACGTTGTCTGTTTAGTTAATGTAATCCGTCTTAATATATATATATATATATATATATATATATATATATATATATATATATATATATATATATAGACCTACATTTTCTTATATTTATATCAATACTTAAAATTCGTCAGTGTCTATTGTAACATTAATTTTATATGTTTATACTTAACTCTAACTAGGTCGTGCCTTGAATTAAAAATGACATTAAATAAATATATTTTGTTTTACTATATTTTTATTCCATAAAAATAATTCAATCAAGTTTATCCTAGTTGATACATCTGTTAGTTTTAACTTATCAACAAATGTAAAAGTACATGACAAAAGATCTACTCACCTGTTCAATCTATTCACCTGACCGTCTGGCCCAGCCATTTTCACCTGTCTCTCACCTGAAACACTGACCCACCTTGCTGTACAATCACACCTTCAACATAGGTAAAACATACCAACAGTTCCAACCGACCCGCCGGATCGATCAACAAAATCAATATCCGATCACTTTATTTATTATTCACTGGAGTGGCTCTCCCTTTCAATGCCCAGCTTAAACAAAACTGTGCGGAAGTCGTTTAAATATTCATTCAACATTGAATACAAGACTCCATATTTTAACAATCAAATCAACTCGAGTCTGTCAATGCGCTTGGACGAGCCGTCTTCGCGGAGTTTCTCGGAGTTTTCTCATTTGCTGGCGTCAAGAAAAGCTTTTTGGTTGAGTAAGTCTCATCAAAATATGAATTTGTTTGAGTGAATAACGAATTAATACATTTTATGACATGGTTGAAAAGTGTTTTTTTTTTCAAATTTATGTAAAGAAAACTAAGGTTTTTGTTTCGTTTTATGCTTTGGACAAATCGATTTGTATATGCGCTTTCTGTGCTAACATGGACGTATGGTGTATGACAGCGATTTCCAAAATACTTGTGATTGCTGCCCCCCCCCCCCCTCTCCCTACGCAAAACCCTACCCTTTTAAAATAAGGTTATGGATTTGGAGACTACACAAGACATACGTAGACAAAATGGAAGATACTGGAAGTAGAATCACAGAGAGGAAATGTAGACTAATGGTACAACTTATTTTTCAGTGGATAAAGGGGAAATGTGCCACGGAGTCCTACTTCATTTCACCCACTATCCTCTTGATAAATCCAGTCGTCCAGTATATTATACAAAACTCTCTTAACATCAAAGTAATTTCTTTTTACTTTCTTGTGTGTTTCTACCTAGTTTGCTGTTCTGCTGATCGTGGTGCATTAATTTATTTATAAAATTATTGAGTTTCGAGTGTCGGTCGGTGCGGTTCCTGCCCCCCCCCCCCCCCCGAAAAAAAAAATAAATATATATATATAAAAAAAATATATATACAGAAAAAAAGTATATTGATAGCAGCTCTCGAATTTTAACTGTTGTTAAAAATTTTAATGAGTCCACCATTATTGAGTATTTGCGAGGCATCGCTCACAATCTGTCTTTTTAAAGTTATAATAAAAATAAAAGTTTTTTCTAATGTTTGTTTTGTATTTATATATTAATTTTGTTTCTCATCATCTTTGGTTTTTCCTTATATAAACCACAATTGGGTTTTTTTTGCCAGGGGGGTTTATATCGCGGGGGGGGGGGGGGGGGGGGTTCCAGGGGGTTTACATCGCGAGGGGGGGGGGGGTTATGTCGGGGGGTTTATGTCCAGGGGGTTTTTGACCGGGAGCCACTAAATTACCCCCCCCCCCCGACGGGTAACGCATGGTATGTGTTACAAACTAACTTAAAAAATGAATGTGATATAATTTTTGAGTTATACTTTTAAGAGAGCCTCTGTAGTTCAAATCTCATTGCGAGTAATCCTAATATACTAGCCATCGGTACCCGTTTCACGTGAATTATAGGCCTGTATATTTTAAAAAATAATCTATGAAATAGTTATTGGTCAAAACGCAATGTGCTGTACTACACGCTGAACGATATTAGCGACAAAGCAAAAATAATAAATAATTAGCTAAAAATCCGACACATTTGACATCACACAGGCACACAGTGATTAAGTGACTTAAATGATTCCGTTAAAAATCTGGCTATTCAATAGTCTTTACGTTGTTTTTAAGTAACTTGTATTAGTTTGACCGATAAAATTGTATATATTTCATAGCGCACGTCTTGATGAGTAGATCTATAGATCTAGATCTAAATCAAATATCAATGAGGTAGTTCCTTTCTTTATAGTCTAAAATCGGAAGATTCACATATTAAAAAAAAAATTAAGTTTGACTTGGTGTGTCTCGATCGCGATCCACCTGCGTGGTATTAAGAACACTACCATCTCAGCTATTTATGCACCTTATAAAACATGGAAAATGAAAGAGGTAGGCCTTATCTAAAAAAAACTTAACTTACGTGAATATGCCTATCTATCTATATATATAACTCTCTTCTGGGAGCCCTTAGAAAACAAGCTGCAAGCGCGCGCCTTGCAGTCCCCTCTCTTCCTCTCTATCGCTACCATCCCCCTCCACCCCCCCCCCCCCCCCTCACATGGTCAGGTGAGTTGTAGTTCATGCTAAATGTTTAGTTTGATGACGGCTATTAGGGGCAGATAATTCAGTTTGAAACTATTTTAAACTTAGAGGAGGTAACTAAGAGGAGGCTGCTTTCACGGGGGGGGGGGGGGGGGGGGGGATGGGGGTTTAGTGTTTTAAAAGCAAATATTTTCAGTAGCAGCATTGGTACTGTCGAATTCACAAATTATGAATTACTGAAAAGTAGAAAAAACAACTAAATAGCGGCGTATGATACACCGCGGGTCGGCTCGTATATATAATTCTCTTCTGGGATCAGTTAGAAAACAAGCTGCAAGCGCCTCCTTGCAGTCCCCTCTCTTTCTCTCTATCACTATCAATACCACCCCCACCCCACCCCCACATTGTCTGGTGAGCTGTGCTCACGCTGTTTACATTTTACAATCATAGATACGGGTTTGGTGACGGCTATTAGGGGCAGATAATTTAGTTTGAAACGATTTTAAACTTAGAGGAGGTAACAAAGAGGAGGCTGCTTTCACGTGGGGGGTGGGGGGGGGGGTTAGTGTTTTTTCCCACGTTTTCTTTAACTTGCTTTCTCTGTTTGTTTATTTGTTTGTCTTTCCAATCAAATCTTGCGATCGAAATTTCTGGCACTTCCCAGTTAGCTAGCGCGCTGAAATTTTCAGGGAAGCTTTCTTTTGGATGACCATAGAATATGCAATTGTTATTATTACTAAATTGATCAATGGAAACATTTTATTGAGCATTTTAGACCGCCATATAATCTATATATATAATTCTCCTCTGCGAGCCATTAGAAAAAAAACCAGCGACGCGTACCTCGCGCGCAGTGAAGCGAACGATCCCACGTCGCCACAGGCTTAGGGGCAGATAATTTACTTTGAACCGAGTTTAAACTTACAGGAGGTAGGCCAGTTTGGGGGAGACGATATGGTCGAGTGGTTGGGCACACGATTGCTATCCCACTCGACACGGGTTCAAATCTATGTGTTCTAGTCAGTAACGTATTCACACAACGTGTTTTTTACGAGTTGTCTTTTTACGAGTTGTCTTTTTACGAGTTGTCTTCGTTTACCCAACAAAAAAGTGAAAAGATAAAATCGATAGCAAGATTTTAATGCAAACAAACAGACAAAGACTAAAAAGTAGAAAATAATAATCATTAAAAAAGTTTTTAAAAACCCACGTTTTCTGATTGAACTAAAAAGTAGAAAATAAATGCTATACATCACAATAATGCAAGCGATCACTCTACTATAAGCGATCAAAAACGTGGGGCGCCGTGATTTTCTTAAAGTTTCTAATACTGTTGACTCTCTACAAGCTCCCTAATAAAAGTCAATAGTATTATCTAATCAATAGTAATATAACTTTTACTTCGGCGCCTCACGTTTTTGATCGCTTATAGTAGAGTGATCGCTTGCATTATTGTGATGTATAGCATTTATTTTCTACTTTTTAGTTCAATCAGAAAACGTGGGTTTTTAAAAACTTTTTTAATGATTATTATTAAGCAAATATTTTCAGTGGCAGCACTCGTACTGTCGAATTCACAAATTATAAATTACTGAAAAGTAGAAAAAAAACCCACTAAATAGCGGCGTATGATACGCAGCGGGTCGGCTCGTTCTTTCAAATTAATTTTTGTAACCCAAATTAGCCAGTTCCATAACTAAACAAATAAAGATTTCTATAAAACAATTAAGACCTGAAATAGTTTAAAAGAAAATTTCATTTTTGGAATAGATTCTAGAGTAGATAGAGTCTAAATCTAGATCTTAGCGACTTAGCGTCTACGTCTAGTTTTTGCGTAGATTTAGATCTAGTCTAGAATCTAGATCTAGATCTAGAATTTCTAGATCTAGATCTAGAAATCAAATAGATAAAATTTTATAAGTTTAGGCCGGGAAAATTGTATTGTATACATTTCATAGCGTACGTAGATCAAAATCAAATTTGAATGAAATAGTTCATTTCTTTTTATTCTAAACTCGGCAGATGACGTCATTAGTTAATGTGTAAACATTAGTGACGTCACTGTTTTATGCATTCTTTTTCACAACTATAAACGCTTTTCCTGTTGCATAATTAAAACGGTTTTTCTACATTCGAATACGCCTTTATTTTTTTTATTTTTCTTCTTTAAATAAAATTGTGGTTATACATTTAAAACATCTACCATATTATTTTCAACAAAAGTCCGTATCAAGTTCCCCATATTTCGCTGAAGATTCTGACGTGATATACGGCGAAATTATTTTGCGGACAGAGAGAGAGAGAGAGAGAGAGAGGGAAGTGCGCACATGGGTTTTTATATATTAGGACAGGGGTCGGCAACCTTTTGAGACGAAAGAGCCAAAAGTTACAATTTACAAAATTTCTCAGCTTTTAAAGAGCCACTAACAATAATAACTATATCTATAACTATATATATATAACTATATATATATATATAACTATATATATATATATATATATATATATATATATATATATATATATATATATATATATATATATATATATATATATATAAAGCAATGTATGTAGGTGTGTGTGTGTGTCTTTTCTTCATAACTACATCTTTCATCCGATCGCCATGAACCGTTAGGAAGTTGTTGAGAATACTCCTGGGGAGGTATCTGAGAAAAAAATATTCAAATTCACTGTTGTGGGGCCCCAGCAGGGAGCGTTACAGTTTATAAAAATAAAAGTTGATTGCGGATTGACACCGTTCAACCGATCACCAGGTAATTTTGGGGAGTTGATTAGAACACGCCAAGGGAGGTTTCTGCAACAACAAAAATATTTTTTAATTTGGCAAGGGCGGCGCCAATGCAGGGTGCGGTATATAAAATCATAAAAGTCGGATGCGGTTTGACAACATCCATCCGATTTCACAAAAATTTGGAGAGTAAATGTGAATACTCCCGAGAAGATTTCTGCGAAAAAACAATTCTAATGGGCAGCGCCAGGGACGGTGCAATAATCGTCAAAACACGGTTTGCCGCCCATATTTCCCGAGCGGGTATGTTTGCACTTGGCATCAGGCGTTCTACATAGCGAGTAAGGGGTACTACTATATTCAGCGGGAAA